AAAAACAGTATACCTTGAAGTAAGCACAAAAAGTGAGCAAATGCTTATCAAAACACGCTTTAGTAAGTGTATATATATATATATATATATATATATATATATATATATATATATATATATATATATATATATATATATATATATATATATATATATATGTATATATATATATCAGGCCTTGCGATAAAGCGTCGGGGCGATGTGAATTTTACGTCGTCCAAGAGCAATTTTGCGTGTAGCTAGGGCTATTTGCGTCGAGCAAAAAATTTTTTGTTTGAGTATATTTAAAGATATTTTTGAGCGGAATTTTAATGAAGTAATTTACGATTATTTTAACATTTAATAAAGTATTTTAAAAACCGCACTCTGTTGAAATAAAAGTTTGAATTTAAAAAAATTAAATATGCTCATTATTTACAAGTAGAAAAAATTCAAAAATTAAAAAAAAAGTTTAAATCTTTTAAGCTAACATTTAATTAAAATTATTCAGCAATAGCAAAGTTGTCGATAAAATTGAACAAAAATACTTTCTTTTAGTTTTAGATTTTAAACTTAAATAATTATTTTACGGGGGTTTGTTAGGTTTTAAAATTATTCCATAGATTTAAAAATATTTATTAACTGTTAGATGTATTTAAAGTATTTAAGAGTAATTTCGAGGAAACATTTTAAAAATTGGTGAGGGCAAATAAAAAAATAAAAAAGGAATAATATTAAAACGTATTCTACTTGATTCAATAAAAAAGTACAGTTATTAAAATTTTTGTAAAAAGTAACTCAAAAAAATTACTTAAATAATAACGATCGTTTTTATGTTAAAAGTTACCGAAACTCAACGAAGCGTGCTCAAAAACAGCTGCTGAAAAATAGAACCTCAATAGTTTTTCGAATAATTTTTAATAATAATTTTTAAGAATAATTTTTTCGCTGAAATATTTCTTTTATACCTATAAGATTTTTATTCTAACATTTTTTTTTATTTTACTAGAAATAAAATTCCTTGTTAACATTAAAAATTATTCAAAACGTTCGTTTAAGTTTTTTATTAATACGAGTGATTGTGCTTATCAACCGCTTTTTGAAAATAAATAAAAATAAATAAATAAATATTATATAAAATCGCTTGTAAAAATATTAGCTATAAAATTTTCAGTTTATTACTCGCTGACTTTTTAAAAAGAAAAAATAATTATTTGAAAAACTTTAAATTACATATTTAAGAAAAAAAAAATCAAATATTAGCATATTTTATAATCTTTTTTAAATTTAAGTTTTAATGTTTTTTATTCGTTTAGTATAGACAAAACGTGACAAACGTCGAGAAAATAAACAAATGTTTTTACATTTTAAAAAACGAAACATTCCAAAACATTTTTAAATAATAACATTTCTACATAAACGATTTAAAGTAGTTTTGCGGTAATTAAGTAAATTGGTGCAGTTAATGTCGATAAATATGAAAAGCAAAAAAAAAGAATTTAATGACGTCAAAAATCACGTCGTGCTTATGCGTCGCGCAGTTCTTATTCATCGCAAGGCCTGATATATATATATATATATATATATATATATATATATATATATATATATATATATGTATATATATATATATACCCAGTGGGCATTCGGATGTCTGTTGGATGTCTAGACGTCCATGAGACATCCCCTGGGTGATGCGTGCCCACTGAGTATATAAAAGTTTATTCTTAAATGAAGTTTTCATTTGTGTGATTGGATTCATGAATTAAATTAAATTATTGTAAAGAGCAATTTTTTTGATATGGCGTTAACCTGATTTTTGCTGTTATGTGACAGCTAGAAAGATTACCATCCTAACCTCATACTGCAATTTTTATAGTTTAGGTGGTTTAGATTTTTAAATCAGAGTTAAGGAGCTTCTCCTTCCCCATATGAAACCAGTTTTATAGAATTCTAATGGGAAAGTCCTTTCCAATTTAAAAGTTTCAACTGCAATTGTTAAACTTTACAAAGAATTTTTAGACTCTGTTGTACTGATATAAACTTTTTAGGCTGCCATTTATGTGCAATTTATTATTTTTATTTTTTAGTTAAAATAATTAATTTTTTTGAAGTAAATATTTCTGTATGGGAAAGACTAAATACCAGTTATCTTGGGAAAAGAGCAACCAGAGTTTATTCTTTCCATTAGTATGGACGGTCCCAATGTCAATAAATTGTTCATAAAAAAATTCAGAAATGATTTTGAAAGAAAGGAAAAATTCATTATCGATGTTGGGTCATGTCCACTCCATACAGTTTCCAATTCTTTTTTGGAAGGTTTGAAATTGTTGATTTCTGAGGATATTGATTTGGACAAATTAGCAATTGATTTGCTCAGTTTTTTTAAATTTTTTGCAAAAAGAATTGAAAAATATTTTGCTGTGAAATCATTTCAAGGTCAGCGTATGTTGAGATATGTCTCTACTCGTTGGATAAGCATTCAAGACATATTAGTGAGGGTAATGGAGAAAGTTTGATA